AGGAGCGCGCGACTCGGTTAATTATGAACGGGTAGCACAGCCTGTATAGATCGTTGCGTAGCATCAGCCGAGCGCGCTTCAGCTATAATATACATATATAGAGGAAAACATTTTTACGAGCCAGCTGTCAAAGAAATAGAACTGCACTTCATAATTTTCATAGAGCCTGGCTGCATCGTGCACACAGTTCCTGCGTGAGAGAGCTATAGCTGCGTCTATTTATGTAAGAATCGTTGAGCTCATAAAATTAGCACACCTTGCTTAACCAAGTGTACTTCAAGGCACTCGTGAAGCTCTCTCTCTCTCTCTCGTCTATCCTCTTTCTCTCTCCCTCTCGCTATACATCATCCAGCTTTGCAAGCTCGTGTGCGTGTATTTGCCGACCGATGTTTGGGCGTATAATAAAACTTGTTTTTCCCTCGTCTCCCTGGCCGCGCGAGATTGTCGCGCTCGGTCGCGCATGTACATGCTGCTGCACGGATACAGTCGAAAACGCGCGACAGGCAGGGATGATACGTCGTCGCCTTGGCGACGCGACGTTGCGTCGAGCGCAATATATATAAGCGGCATCTGGCTCGCGTGCACATTCGCAGATGTATACGTATATACAGACGTGCATGCATGCATGCATCAGCTGCCCACGGTAATGCACTAACATACATATCTTATAGCATACGTACGTATACGCATGCAGCTCAGTGCCCATGTCTACCGCTGCCGCCGCCGACGCCGCCGACGACGTATAGCATATGACTTGTTTATTCGAAATAGATGCCCTCACCGCAAAGTCGAGGGTATTTTGTGTATGCAAGAGAAGACTCGCTCTCTACACAAACGCACCGACACACACACACGTGTGTGCATACATCACTGTCGTGGTTAATAGTCAGCCACTTTCTTGCACACCGCAGCACACAAGCTGCTCTTCAGCCCTGAAATCTTTTCGCGGAAAGAGGATACTCATTGTTGCGAGCGGTGGCGGCGGCAGCGAGACGAGGTCATTTATTTGCCCTACTTCCTTTTTTTTCAACCCAAGCCCCTCTATTATGTTATACTTTTACAACGCTAATTTTCAGAAAAAAAAATCATATATTTTTTGCCTCGGACTTGTTATTGTTTTTTTACGTGAAAACACACTTTTAGCCAAGCATTTTCGCCTGGCTGATAATTTTTTTCTCTACCGACGACGCGAACGACGATAAAAGAGACGCAGCTCTACGAAAGATATACGGAATTTCTAGAGCAGCACAAAATAATTCATCGTTCGAGCGCTGCACTACCCAAATTTAGATCGTACATAAGTAAATTAGTTGGGTAAACGAGTCAGGAAGGATTATAGGGAGTAGTAGCTTCGCAAGCAGCCCGTCGAGCGCGCTCACCAGCGGGGCCAAATGTACACGGCAAACAAGCGCGCAAAAGTAAACAAAAACCGGCAGTCAAATGTAACCGTACAAAGTTGAAGTAAAAAGAAATAAGCGAAAGTAGCAACTCGAGAGAGCGAGCAGCATATGTTAATATATAATTTTGCAATTTCAATTATCGAGTTGCGGCAGGCACACGTATGTCGTACGTATCGCGTGAGTGAGAAAAAGAGAAATAGGCGCGCGACGATACAGCAATTGGTAGGTGGAAAATAATTGTGTAACAGAAACGAATGGGAAAAGTATGTATGTAGGAAGACAGGACGCGACGCGCGCGGGGAGAAGTTACATCTAGGCGTGAAAGCGTCGAGGCGAGCGCGAAGAGGCGGAAAGGCCAAGTCATAACTCATCCTTAATGACATTTCAAAATGAAATTATCCGACGTGCATCGAACTCTGGACGGATTGCTTGCATGTATATGGATGAGAAGGGAGAGAGGAAGAAGGTGAGAGAGAAAGAGGACGAAAAATGAGGCGGAGGGACGCGAAAGATCCGAGCGCGAGAGAGAGAGAACGGAGGCTTGGATAAATTATTGGCAAGGCAAGCGAATTGGTTGGGGGGACCGAGTGCAGAGCGAGTCACTTTGAATCTATCCTGCATCTGGGCGGTATATAAATGCATAGAGTCACACGTGACACGTACAAGTAGTAGTAGTGGTAACAAGTAGTTGTAGCAGTAGTAGTGGATAGGCAGTATAGTCGGACTGCCGCTGATGTAGTACTCGTCTAGTTCTGTCTCTTCCTATCCTAGGCGGATGTGTAGCAGGATGATTCGTGCTGCATGCACACGTGCATCCTACATCCATACATAGGTATACATACATCGGTATTTGGGAGAGAGAGAGAGAGAGAGGACATGCCAAGCTATAGGTCATATCGCGCGCATCGATGTGTGGACGAGCTCTCTCTCTCCGATCGAGCCGCTTGCGAACGCGAGCGAGCTACATACTGCATAGCAGCAAGCGAGCCTTATACACATAGTGGCAGGAGCGCGAGCGAAAATCGATGGGGGGTTAAACGAGGCTAGACGCGCGCCTCGGTGCATATACGAGGCAGCAGGCAGGAGGACGAAGAGAAGCTCGAGTCCGTTAAAGGGGCAAGGCGGCGGCGGCAAGCGTTTGCCGGAGTAGATCGACTTTGGCTATAGTTGTAAGCTCGAGGTATTATATATGTAGCCCCGAGTCGAACTAGTCACGTCCAAGTTTGAACGGGCGCGCGCGTGTCTCAGGACGAGAGCGATATATACCGATGCCGCGCGCGCCACACATAGAGAGCTATACGATTGGATGTAGGGATATAGGATAGCGTTGCACATCGTGTGCGCGCCCAGATACAGGATACGTATGTGCTTTTTCTTTGACAGACTCGCGCTCGCGTCGTCTTTGCGGGCCACGGCTCTCTCCGAGAGTTTCTCCGCTGCCACGACTAGTGCAACCTGGTGCAGCTCTGTGCTCGGCGTGTGTGGTATATAAGGTTTTCGCTCGAGCGAGCGAGCAGCGTGAGCTCGACTCCCGCCGACGCGAGGAAGGAAGAAATGGCGCTTGCGTTCCTCGTTTTATCGATCGGTCGCGCGCGCGCCAAGCACTCGGGCACGAGTGTAGTGCCGCTGAAGCCGAGAGAGAGAGAGAGAGAGAGTGCATCGAACGTGCAGCGCACACACAGCTGTGTACTACTGTGAAAATACGCGCGCACACGCCTGCCTGCCTGGTGCACCCCTGCTCGCGCTTACCTATACCTTTATTCGCTGTATAACGCATTGCAACGCAGCGAAACGTATGTGTACGTACGAACCGCGGCTCCAGCTTTTAACGCGCTAATACGAATTTCCCGGACTGAACCTTTAGGCAAGCTCTGCGCTTGATGCGCGCGTTACGCCGTTTCTGCTTCGTGTGCGTACATATATTATATAAACCTGCGATTCAAATGTATGTATATAAACGCGGGTATGGCGCGTATCCACTTTAGCGCAGCCGGATCAGGATCTCTGCATATGCACTTTGCGCTAGAGCTCGATATGCAGCTGCTTGGTCCTCGCGGCTATTGCAGCCTATATCTATGAGGCTGCAAACTGCTATACACAGCTCGTTTGTCAAGCTCGAGGCCCCCGCAGAGCAAGAGAGAAAGAGAGAGAGAGAGCCCCGATGTGCAGAGCTGCTAACGAGCTGGTTCGCTACGCGCATTAATATGCATTAAACGAGTGTGTGTGGGTGCGTGCGTGTGCGTGTGTATGTATATGTATCTGCGCGAGCGAGCACAAATTGACGGGTCCGCTGAATCAAAAGCCGCCACCACTATATGCAGCCAGCGGCAGCCGTTTGCTGTCCCCGTATATACCGCGCAGCAGCCGCACCGTCAAACTTTTACTAAAGGGATTACTTTGTAGCGTGGACGATCGTCGTCGCGTGCCTAGCTGCCACCATGGCACACTGTATTCGCTCGGCAGTGGAGTATTATATAGTCCATGGTACATAGTCCGCAGCGACGTGCGATAATAATCTGCATATAACACCCCTCCGCTCGCACCATCGGCTCCAGCGACTTCCCCTCCCTTCCCTACGTAGCACTCGCTTATATTCCGCGTTCGCGTCGGCGACGACGATGGCGTGTACCTAATGCGCCGTAGCGCCGTATAATGTGCGCGAGAGCCGCTGCCTGAGACCCGCTGCGATTCCATACCTCCTCCACGCCATACCGTGTACTTAGCCGACTTTTATCGTACGGCGCGCAGCGTAATGTACACGATATTTGCGCTAATTGAGCGCTTCGGATCGTCGCTCCTCGTCTCGCAGCAGCAGCAGCGTCAACGTACGTGTGTGCCCGAGTATTGGATTATTGCCTTCGTCCGGCGGAAGCAGCTCGCTGCTGCCTGCACGACCCCCTACCTATACACAGCTAGCTCGACGCGCGTCTTTATACCAATGCACGTCGCAATTGTCCGATCTGCACGACTGTATATGTGTGTGTGTGTGTACATTATACGAGGGCTCGAGTGCCGCTACTAGCCTGTAACGAGCTCGTTTGGAAAGTTATGCACACGCGTGACTGCGAAGCATCGCACAGGCAGCTATACCTATCTACTGTACTACTGTATGCTGTACACACAGGCCACGCGCGCGCGCGCGCGAATACCAATGATGACGAGCTAATCTTTCTCAACTGCTATTTATAACGCGTTGAGTAATAGCCCCCGCACATACACACCCACACACACACACAGGCGTATATAATAATATAGTGCCTCGCGGCTTGGCTCGACGCTTGCCGAACACTCGAAAAGCGTTGCGGTTCACCCTCTCTCTCTATAGTGCATGTGTATGCGCCTGTGTGCGCTTTGCGCACGCAAAATCAGAGCGACCCTTTAGCGCAAGCACGAGCCTTAGCCGAGTGATTAACGATTCGAAAGCGTAATATATTGCCGCTTTGCGACGAGCACCAGCAGCAGCAGCAGCAGCGCAGTAGCGCCAGCAGAAATAATGAACGATCGTACTTACTCTCTCTGCACGTACATAGATATAACGACGAAATCTCTCAATTATCGTGTGCTCATGTAGCTGTGTGGGTGTGCTTGCATGTGTTGCAGACATCGACGCGAACGAATTTCTGGACACGCTGGGTCAAGAGGTCATATCGACGGCCTGCGTCGGCCTGCTGGAGCGGGCGTTCAGGTGCCTCGGCAACGACCTCGCGGCCTTCCTCACGACCCTCGACGGGGTGAACGACGTCGTCCAGCACCAGTCGGGCAGCGAGACCGAGGCCGAGTTCGTCTGCATCGCCACGCCGGGCGCCCTGGAGCTTCACTTCACCACAGACTACCCGTCCATTGCCTACCTGCTGGTCGGCAGTCTCAAGGGCATCGCCCGACAGTTTTACGATGACAAAGCCGACGTGTACATACTCCCGGATCCTTACAATACTAAATTTTTTAGGTAAGCCAGTCGCACCAGCAGCAGCAGCCGCTTAATCTTTTCACTCCCTGGCCACGGCTACTGCGGCTCTAGCGATCCTCTTCTTCCTCCTCCATCTCCTCCTTTTTTTTCTCTCTTTTCTCTCTCTCTCTCTCATCCACTTCAATAAAAAGGACGCGTGGCTCGCTTGTACTTTTTTATATTTTACACCGTGTTGTGTACGGCTGACCTAACTCGGGTATAACCACTTCTCTTTCCAGCATGTGAATGCGCTCTACTTATTTTTTCAAACCCAAATATTTACGCAACATTAAACATGAAAATTTGCAGCGTAAATATCAAACTATACTATTATTATTATCGGTCCAAATTTATTTATATTTTTATTATTACTTTTAGTTAATTTTTTTTTAATTTAATAAAAGTATTTATTCGAAAAGAAAATTCCGGACGCTCGCAACGGGAAAATTATAATGAGCAATTTTTACTTCCCTCGTAAAATGTTTAAAGACGTAATCGTTTCACGATATAACTTTTCTTCTAGCTTCGCGTCAATTAAAAAGTCCGTTTTCACTACTTTGTTCGCTTGGAAATCCTTTAAAATTTTACTTTTAACAGCTCATCCAGAGATCCGCGTGACGTTTCGCCAAGAACATCCTTTGTAAAAGGAGCATTTAAAAGAAAAAAAAAGGAAAAAAGAAAATAAAGATAGACAGCGAGCAGGGCGCGTGGTATTTTTTTTCTCTCCACTTCTAATCGAGTAGTAAATATTGACCAGAAAAGTGACGCCGTTCTTAAGGTCACGCACTCAGACTGAAAGCTACACCCTCCGACCGAGTGTGTTGGCTCAAGCAATTTTCCACTAAGTGAATCGTCGGGCTATTACAATACCTAAGCGATAACTCTGAAACAAAAAGACTACATAGAGTAGAAAAGTCGTATTTATCAGAGCTTGGTGGAAACTTTTTCGTTCGATTGAAACATAGATTATAATACCCGAGTTGATTCGCTAAGGTCAGCAGCGACAGCGACAGCAGTAGTAGCGCCGCGCACGTCGCTTAATCTCGCTTTGGTGCCAAGAATCCGCAGCTCGAAACTTTTGCGCTCACCGAATAACGCGCTTTACAATGGAGTCTGACAATGCGGTGCCGGGGGTGTCCTACTTATTTTTCCCCGAGTTCATTTGGATTGCGATCAAATACAAGAGAGAACAAAGAGGTCATCTGCAAAGTTAATACGTGGGGAGGAAGAGAAAAAAAAATGAGAGAGAGAGAGAGAGAGAGAGAGAGAGAGAGAGAGGGAGACTAGAGAGCTTCGCACGAGATGATCCGTTAATGACAAAAAAAGAAAGAAGAAAAAATGCGATAGTGCATCATCGATCGAGTATCTCTTTTAACGATCCCCCCAAAAAACCTATATCGAAAGTATCTAAAAGCTCTCGATGCGCACCGAATAAAAATTGAGGCAGCGACACAGGATCTCTCGTCCAATGTTAAATCCGTTATAAATGATCCTCGCCTTGCCGCAGATATCGAATTACACCGGAGCACTTCAACAGTGCGAGCAGTTCGGCGGCAGCGGCGACGGCGCCAGCTCCCAACCTGGCGGTCCAGGAGAGATCCGACAGCGTCGAGGATGAGGAGGAGATCGCCGGCGAGCACAGCCGCTTCCGTCCACTGTCGCACGAGGCCGCCGACCTGCGCATGGGGGTGGCGAGCTTCTGCAAGGCCTTCCCCTGGCACTTCGTCGTGGATCGGAACCTCGAGCTCGTGCAGCTCGGCAGCGGCTTCATGCGGCTGTTCGGCCACCAGCTGGCCTGGCAGGGACGCGAGATCAGCAGCTACTTCGTGTTCGCGAGGCCTCGCGGCGTCAGTCTCGCCTTTCACGAGATCCTCAAGCGCTCCAACACGCCCTTCGTGCTCACCCTCAAGCAGCAGTCCGCCGACGAGCAGTTCCAAGCTGAGGTTCGTATAGTGCATGTCTCCCTTCCCCCGTTTCAGCCGCACGTATATAAAGCATATTTTCAGTATATAATATATTGGATTTCCCCCGTTAACTTTGAGCCGCTGTCCTGGCACTTCCCTGAGTGCTAATTATTTATTCACTGTACGACGTACTACGGCGGTACACGCACGCGTCAAAGCATAAAGTCGAAACTGCCTCCGAACTAACTGCGCGACGCTCGTATGAAATTGTAATGTTTGTTGCGCCACGCGCGGACACGGGCAAAGTAAACTGATATAACCGATATCGTAAGTCCACACGCTTCATTCGTCGATTTCCCTCCCAATTTTGATTACAGGGACTCGAATTCAAAGGCCAAATGGTCCATTGCCAAGAATCTGACTCTATCCTGTTCGTGAGCTCGCCGTTTTTGAATGGATTAGAGGGACTTACCGGTCATGGGCTTTTCATCTCTGATATTCCATTACACGACGCAACAAGAGACGTTATTCTCGTCGGCGAACAAGCGAGAGCTCAGGTAATCCACCTCATGGGAATATTTAATCATATTATTATACTCCTCAAGAAAAAGGATTATGCGAGCTTACTCCTGCGAAATTCGTAATTCGAAAGCAGCTCGTGTGCGATTGCCACTTCCGAAGCTCAATCGTCGTCAGGCAGGCACACGCGGGCCTCGATATATTTCGATAAATTCATATCTCTGTAATAAAGTCGATTGAATATGTATAATAAAGCTGGGGCGCTTTTGTCTTCCGACAGGACGGCTTGCGAAGACGCATGGATAAACTAAAGAGCTCGATCGAAGAAGCAAACAGAGCCGTCGACGCCGAGAGAGAGAAAAACGTCAGCCTCTTGCATCTTATCTTTCCGCCAGATATAGCGAAGCGCCTCTGGCTGGGTAAATTTGTTTGCTAAACTTTCCCGTAAATATGGATATTTTGTGTACGTGTGTATATGCACGTGCAGCTGTGTGTGTGTATGTTTACGCCAGAGCCCGAGTTTAACGGCTAATAACTTCCAGCTGCATATGCAGCACGACTCGATATAAATAAATTATTTAAATTATCCTGCAACTTTTATGCAAAATAAGTGTATAGCGCGCGCGTGCAGGAGCTTTGCTTTAACGTATGCATTCGACATGTTTTCGCAGGCGAGACAATAGAGGCGAAAAACTACGCGGACGTAACAATGCTGTTCAGCGACATCGTTGGATTTACTGCAATATGCTCGACGGCTACACCCATGATGGTTATTAATATGCTGCAAAATCTTTACCAGCAGTTCGATTCCTACTGCGGTCAGCTCGATGTTTACAAGGTACTCATTTTTTTTCATAATTATTGATTGAGTAATTCCGAACGACCATTGTTGTTTATCAATGATATTGAGGTGTACGTCGAATTTTTCACTCACAGGTAGAAACCATCGGAGACGCTTACTGCGTAGCTTGCGGTCTGCATAAAAATACAAATACTCATGCGCAGCAAATAGCATGGATGGCGCTGAAAATGATACAAACATGCACGCAACACTCTACCCACGACGGAAAACCTATAAAGGTAAGTTCAGTGTCGATAAGTTCCGGGAAATGTAGATTTCAAAAAAAACACGGTACAAAAAATGTACTCTGACATGCAAACGCCATCTGACGATCGAAGTTCGCTTACCTCTGCCTTTTTCTTAGAACGACTGGTGGTAAAGTAGAGAGAGATTTCTCGATCGATTCGTTTACCTACAAACGGTTATATATGAGCAAAAAATAAGTAATGCACATTATCGATTTTACAACTCGGTTATGACTATTTGTTGTTGCAAAATTAGAAAAATACAAATTACAATAAACAAGAAATTATTTTCAGATGAGAATAGGTATTCATACCGGCATGGTTCTAGCTGGGGTGGTTGGAAAAAAGATGCCTAGATACTGCCTCTTCGGTCACAATGTAACAGTGGCTAATAAATTCGAATCAACGAGTGAACCACTTAGAGTTAATGTAAGCCCGACAACATACGAGTAAGTTTGATACCTTCTTTTAAATTCTTAAATATCTAAAATTGCCTCATTGTTTTTGTTCTCATCTTTTACATGGTTCTTCCTTCTAGATTTTTAATGCAAGGACCAGGATTTATTTTAGAAGCAAGATCTAAAGACAATCTGCCAAAAGAAATGTCACGAGACACCGAAGGAACTTGTCATTTTCTTAATGGATATGTTCATCCTGAGGTAGATCAGAACGAACCATTGGATGCTCACATTCAAGCAGCTCTAAATGAACTTGGGATCAACGGCAGCGTGTAATAATCGAGGTGATACGCCCAACACATAACAAAGTACATCTCATGAATACACCGTCATCTAAGTTATAAAATAAGTAAATTAGACGTATACACAAATAGTTACGTTCAGTTGACTAGTATAAATGCATCCTCATGAAATGTTGAACTTTTAAGAATGAATATTAGAACTTCAATTATACCAAAGAGTTTTCTCATAAAAGTGTATTATTAAATCATATATTATAATTAACGATAAGTACCAAAATTGTCTATAATTTTTATTTTCAAACTTTTCAAATTAGTTAACTGTATCTGAAAATCAAATAAAATATCCCATAAAATTGCATGAAGTACACTCATAATTATACTATATGCTTGTATAAGCAACATGGATGTATGTTTTGTCGTGTATGATAATCTCCAATGTGTAAAACCAATTTTGATTAAAAATAATAGTTATTTATGTAACAAGTGCCCAAAAGGCGTTTTTGGGCACGAGTGTGCGGAAAAAGACACGAGTGCCGGCTATGCCGGCACGAGTGGGTGTTTTTTTCGCACACTGTGCGCAAAAAGCTGGGCACGTGTTGCATACAAAATTTTATGCAATAGGAGACGAAAAATACTTTCATTTAAATGAGGCGTTTTACCGCACACCCGTGTCCAAAATGATGCATTTTACCGCACACAAGTGTCCAAAAACGCTTTTTGCGCACTAAAAACTGTGCGAAAAAAGACATTTTTCGTCATACTATTGCATAAAATAATTTATTTCATGCATATTAATTATTCGATTTATGTATATTAAATGATGATTACAAGTTAGATGCCAAAAGTATTTTGTTCCAAAATTTACAGCTAAACTGGATAAATTCAAAAATCTCTCATAATTAGAAGATTTCAAAATTTTGCGATGAAAAATAGACTATGTCATATCTTGCGTAGACAATTTTCATATGAATCACACAAATCCTATTTTTTCTTTATAACTAAATTATCATCGAATTCAGTCCAAGCATTTACAAACATGCAACTTTTAGTTTCGGGTATCGAATCGTTGACATTTGAATTTATGTCATGCAAAAATTCTACTACTCTACAGTCTATGATTAACTTAAACTAAAGTATTATTAAATTGACAAATGAGTTAATAGATAAGAATATGACAGATTTATTATCACATTCTCTAACGTAATATTTTAGGTAACGATTTTTTCTATTTATTATAATTCAAATATTTTTGAATTCTAATAAAATTATCCATTCGAGATTAAAATAATTCATTTATCTCCATCGAAGACTTTTTTATACATTTACCTTTTTCCATGTTAATATTCTTCATTAGATTTTAAATTAGTTATGTGAAAGAAAGATTCAAAAGAGTTCGATTTTAAGTATTAATATTTGATTGATAGAAAGACGTCTTTCAAATTTTTTAATAAAAATATCATATAATCTGAATCAGATAAAACATACTTGGTTTGTCATTTTATTTTATGACATGTATTTTACATTATTAAGTATATATTATATAATTTTTTGATAAAACATTTATAATTCTTAAATCAAGTAGTGGTATTAAATCATGTCAGAGAATTGATATAAATTTCCATTAAATCTGAAATTACGTTCGAATTCTTGCCACGGCAAACTGAATTTCTCGAATATTTCAGGTATCAATAGTGATATTAAATTTTTGCTACATAAAATTAGATGACAATTGCTATTAATACTACTGATGTTATTTTGTATTGGAATGAAAATCATAATGATAAAGTACTTGCAAAAATTTATATCATTTAAAGAAATTCAGCGCCAACGTAAGGCCTGATAATGGCATTCATGAATAAATAAGAATAATAACTTTTGGCTGGACATTATACAGGCTGCAACGAAAGTAAGGAGACCCCTGGAAATATAGCGGATTAAGTATTAAAAAAAATCAAAAATCACACACCCGACGTATTTTTTTAACAAACATAACTTCAAAGCTGTAGGGACCGAAAAATCGATTTTTCAAATGAGAACCCCATTCGTTATTGCAGATTTGAAAAAAGCAGAAAATTTTACTTTCGAATATTCCTTTAGTTATTCAATTACCCTCTTACCTATAACTTAGATTTTTTACGATATTTTCTAGTTCAGTAGTCCCTCGTTTAACGCGGTTTCATATAATGCCTTTTACGCTTTAACGCGGGTTGTCAAATGTTTCAAGCTCTCAATTAACACGGATTTTAGAACCATGTTACCAACGTAACATTTTCCGCTCTTTTCAAATCTGCAATAAAAAATAGAGGTTCTCATTTAAAAAATAGATGTTTGGGTCACTGGAGCTTCGAGGTTATGCTCAACGTCAAATCCAAAGTCACCATTGGATTTCTTGTCAAAAAATCCGTCGGATTAATCGTTTTTAATTTTTTTTAACGCTTAATCCACGATTTCCAGGGGTTTCCATACTTTTGTTGCACCCTGTATAAATACGTATAATGACATGCAATGGAGGAGACATTTTGCATGTTTACACTACTGTTATATTTTACTCATATTGAATTACGTTTATTTTATTCTACATCTGAAGAAAACAACGATAATGGATTTGAGTTTTTTTCAACCCCGAATATCAACGTCAATAGGACATGTAAAGTCGATCAATTGAAAGAATAAACAATGTAAAGTAGAATTGTGTACAATTCTACAGCCTAAAGTGAGTAAAGTTAAGACTATAGGAAAATCCAGATACATATTTTTGGAGTTGCAATAGCAAGTTTTAGAAACTTGTAAAGAAGTTATGGAGTGAGCGGGAAAGTTTGAAGTTGGTTATTTTATGTTGATTATTTTCCAACTTGACTGAATAATAATTTTTCGGATTAAAGTATTTTTTTAATTTTAAGATCATACAAAAAAACTTAGTAAAATTTACTTTAGAAATTTTTAAGTGCTCGTGCTTCTTTGAAAAGTAATTTCAGCGTGAATATAATCTTTTAAAATTCTGAGCAGATTTTACTTTTTTGTTTTACTTTTAGTTTTAGTAATGTACACTGTACATATTACGATTATTAATAGTGTGTTAATAGTTTTATAACAATGTTTTATAAATACATCATTAGTGAAATCATTATAAATTTTCGATACATGAGAAACTTATAGTCACGAGAAGTGTGTTGGTTGGGGCTCGTTTCATTAAATCTTACTTTTTTACTTTATAAGTAGATCTACCCTTCTCTGAACCGATTTCGAGTTATGTTCCTTTCGCTTCAAAGTTAGACATTTTTTCATTTCAATACTCTATAACACTTACATGTGTTTCGATATAGACCGATACGAGTCTTCAAAGAATCATTGTCGGGTTGTGTATACTTTCATGTTCTACCATCAGATGTCACTTTCAAATCTAAAAGTGAAAAACTTTAGTTTCGGAGTTATCAAAGTAAAATTTTTTCTTACATACTATTGATACGAGTACATTCTTTTACGTTCAAATAATGTGTACTGATTATAAAGGTATACGATCCTCACAATAGCTCGCAACTTGGCGTGCATCGTTTTTGAATGCAGCGGGAGCATGAGAATAATTAAATTCGAGTCTTTTGAATTGCATGAATTATGTTGAATCAAACATCGGGACATCCGTGTAATGAAATATCGAGTGGATTATTGATTTTTTGGAAAATAAAATATGCAAATAACGTAGAAATAGCTACAATTTAATCAAATGAAAACGTTTGATTGAGCGCAAGGAACGTCGTCTCGTCGGGGAGCCGAGTAATTTCGACGAGTCTCACAACTGTTGCTCGCACGCGCGCGCGCCTCACGATTTCATATCGAAATCTGTTGGGAGCAAAGACGTTGTTGGCCTCTCGATGTTGACGAATAATTAAATATTTCATCGCTCGGCCCGAGAGAGGGAAAGAGAGAGAGAGAAAGAGAGCCAAGCTGCAGAACTTGAAAGACGGCGCACAAAAGTCCGCTGCACTCCGGACGCGCTTGTAATCCAATAAGCTAGAGCTGAGCTCTCGGCGCTGCAGCTTGCACATTATATATGGCCGATTCTCTGTGAAATCGAATGGCCAAAAAATTTTTTTTCCTGCAAATATGAAAAACTTGTTGTATTTGATGTCAGAAATGTCCCCAAATTTTATTAGAATTTTTGGGGCCTTCTATGACACTTTTTCAGAGGCCCAAAGTTGGCCATTTTAGGGTTTTTTTGAAATTCATGAAAAATCACAAATATTAAAATAATTCCTGGATTAAAGTAGAATGATTCAAAAGTATAAGTGCCCAGCATCTTTTTTGTTGGAAATTGTCCAAATTTTCAGAAAAAAAATATGCCAAAGTGATTGGAGCCACCTAAATACATACTAGTGGGAAAACATAAAAAAAAAACACAAAACAAGAAATCTACTCGAGTTCGAACCGGACTTTCATTTCCTAAACTATGTGAAAAGCTTCCCAAAGATGTCAACTACTGCCTGATAAAGTTTTGTAATGGGTCTTAAAGTTTAACGTAATGTATACAACAATGTGTGGTGAAAAACGTGCAAAAAAGGTCAAAAATAGGCCCAAAATGCCTAAAATCACCAAAAACAGCCATTTTCAGGGCTTTTTTGCACGTTTTTCACCACACATTGTTGTCTACATTGCGTTAAACTTTAAGACCCATTACAAAACTTTATCAGGCATTAGTTGACATCTTTGGGAAGCTTTTTACATAGTTTAGGAAATGAAAGTCCGGTTCGAACTCGAGTAGATTTCTTGTTTTGTGTTTTTTTTTTATGTTTTCCCACTAGTATGTATTTAGGTGGCTCCAATCACTTTGGCATATTTTTTTTCTGAAAATTTGGACAATTTCCAACAAAAAAGTTGCTGGGCACTTTTACTTTTGAATCATTCTACTTTATTCCAGGAATTATTTTAATATTTGTGATTTTTCATGAATTTTAAAAAAACCCTAAAATGGCCAACTTTGGGCCTCTGAAAAAGTGTCATAGAAGGCCCCAAAAATTCTAATAAAATTTGGGGACATTTCTGACATCAAATACAACAAGTTTTTCATATTTGCAGAAAAAAAAATTTTTTGGCCATTCGATTTCACAGAGAATCGGCCATATATATACAGATATATATATGTGTGTGTGTATATATAGAGTCGTATATAGCGACCCTATATACGTACTTGCTGCTGACTCAAAGAAAAGCTCGTTGGCGCGCGTCAGCGCTGGAATTTGTATTCCGGGCATTCGCTGCCTACACAAGCCGATTCAATAATGCACATATAGCCAGCGGACGGAAAGTCGCTTTTTGCGGCCGCCGTTACTGCTGCTAGCCCGGCTCTCGGCCCTGGTCCGACGACTCCCTCGCACCACCATCACCACCACCACCGTCGCCGCTGCCGCCGCCACTATTATATACGTCGTGTGCATGCGGAC